GCGTCCATTTGGAGTGCCTCATATTCAGAGTTACTCCCGATGAAAGCAATATACAATGAGCCAATTAGAGCGAATCAATCTAATACATAATTTACAATGCTTAATTGCCATTTGAAAAATGTAACAGTCCACATTAATTGCCTAGTGACTCTTGAGTCTGGCCCTGAGAGGCCTATACAATACCGGGCCCTTGAGCAGGGCAGGCTCTGGTAGCTCGGCTGGACAAAGCTCTTGCGAGCGTGGAATACGAAACGTCATTATAGACACTTACGAGCGTGGAAGGTACGAACGTCGTATCACACACGAGAGCTGTGAAAAACGAAACGTTCGGATCGATCGTTGTTTGTTTCTGTTGGTTCGTGCTGGCTGGGCTGGTTGGAAAACTACTGTGCCCGGCCGCAGGAACCTGAAACGAAAGGTTTTCGAACGCGAGATGGTTCCGTGAGATCGCGAGATGATCTTTGCCTTGAGCGCGCGGAAAGTCTTATAGATCCGAGAAGGATCTTGAACAGTAGTGCGGGTTGGTGCAATCATCAGAGTACTGTACTGCTGTTCCTCGAAAGCAAGTTTTTGGCGTTGGGATTCCTTACACCGGAGTAGGCCCACATATATGGCTTTTAGGCACACGCGTTTCTCGAACGCACAACAGTTAATTGAATAAGTGTTAAAAATAAGCAGCACATCATCCTTCAGCTGTTAATTCCAGACTTTAATCTCAAGTTTCCGCAACAAAGATTCAAAAGAATTTTCCATCAGGGTCTATCTGCACGATAAAACTTAGAGTATAGTAAGTCAAAACAGTAATGCTCACAGCCTACATGGGATCATATGCAATTGACCCACTATTTAAAATCTAAGGAAATAGTCCACTTAGATTACACATTCTCGAATACAAGGTGGGTGCTTAATTTTGAAGTGTATATGCCATGTTGAGGATGTCTTGCTCCAAATTAATTTGCAGCCCACTCCCTAAATGAACTTTTGGGTACGCAGGTGATTACTAAAAGCATATAGAATTGTTGTACCCAAGTGGTGTTGCAATATAGCTGCAATGAGCGCTGATTCATGAATTATGACCTCCAGTATAATATTGAAATTCTGTATGTTAGCTTGGGCCGGCGCAGATTTTCGCACAATATTTTGAGGTTGACTCCATTTCTGTATTATTATTTTCTTTCCAAGGAAAGATCTTCTAAGAATACTTGAACTTGGTTCAAAATTGTGAGCGTTGTGCTTGGTTTTTACTTAATTTATGTTTGCATAGTTATTTTGCTTTTGTATTTGGCGTGGTAATCTGTTCATCTGCTGAAGTTTCAAAAGGATCTTTCTCTGCCGGATCGTATAGGGTAGAATCACATGGTGGAGGACATTGTTTGTTAAATGATTGACTTCTGTATGCCCGTCTTTCATCACTCACAGGGCATAAGATAGGCAAGCTTTGCTCTGTATTTCGATCATTCATGGTTGTTTCTCGAATGCCAGGGAAAAAGGGTTTTTCCATATTCCAACAAATTGTTACTGTCGCCTGGATATACTTATTTACTGGTCCACTAAGCATGCTTTGGTCATCATACAAAGTTGACTCTTGGAGGGCTATGTCCATAGTTTATAGAACGGCATCCGTTATCTTGAAGGTCTAGCAGGCTTGACTTGGCTCTTTCATCGGATCAACATGATAGGTGGTAAAAACTGGGAAAATTGTGGGGATTTCATCATACGGCGCAATGTTAACTTGGATAAGGACTTAAGCAATTTAATGCAATCGTTATATAGACTTATAATGTTGTTAAAAAAAGAATGTAACAGTACTTAAAATAGCATTTTAGTTTATGACGTAATATCAATGTCTGAAGAATGCCGTTAATGTATGATTCTCATTCTTAAGTCGTTGAAGAAATTTAGTATCATAGAAAGTGCAGTCATCAACATATAAAATTAGTAGGCGGAATTCCCTGACCTGAGTACAGGTTAAGAAAAAACTACCAGAATCGACACTAGATCACATGTAATTTCCTCTATAATTTCTGATACTTGTGGAAGAAGCATTCTGATATTGGAGAAGTAAAGAAGTTTAGCTACTCAATATTCAAGCGCATGAAAATGCTCTTGAGTTGTTCAATTTTTAGGGCTCATGCTGAGTTTACTTTGACTTATGATCGGAGTCTTAACGTATTCATAAAAAGTGAAGTCGTCAAGCCAACTATAAACAAGGGATATTTCCGAGGTTAACACAATCTATCAAGAAAATATTGAATGCAGATAATAATGAATCGCTCCTATCGGAAATTGCTCCCATAAAATTTCCGATGTCCATATAGGCGAGGCCGTTTGCTGGCTCTGTTTAATAGGATATTCTTTTCTTCTTGGTACATTATGAAATACATTTCTAACACTTGATTCTGTCGTAGTCTGTTCGGTTTTTGCATATGCATGTTTACCTTTCAGTTCGGGTGAAGTTCTTGTCATAGTTGTAAAAAATGTCCTCTCTCTGCAATGCTTTCACAGATGTGGCTCCCTTCTATAAAGTCTTCGGCATTATGGTGAGAACTATCCCTGTTTTATAAGTAAAATTGTCACAGATCTATGTTACTTTTTAATTTCCTTTCCTTTTTGGTTTGTGGGAAGAAGTCTTCGTTGAATGTCAAATCAACACCTTGAATATGTTGGTTTTATTTGCTTCTGTCTTGTACATTTCGTACTTCTCAACGTCTCCAAAATTTTTAACTTCAACATTTTATTTTCTTGTCTTAAGAATTTTGAAGTTTGATTGCCTGTGTACTACCCGACTCTTTCTTCTTGTCTAGTTTTCTTCTTAATTTTGTCCAGTAAAACACTCTTTCTTTGTTAGTTTTGTCATTAGTCTTATGAACAGTTCTATACTTTGGTAAACAACTACGAGTGAATATGAAAAATAAAAATAAAAAGACTAGAATCATGAATAATCCACTATCAAAGAGTTGGGAATTTGAGGACTCTTCAAGCTTTTTCTTACTTTGCAGTTAGAAAATTTGAACGATTGCTTCATATTTAATTCTTGATTGTGTTTTCACAGTTAAGGAATTTTGTGAAATTATCTTAAATCAGGAGATATCAAATTGCAGGATGGCTTTCTGGTTCTTCATTTCTGTCCTTCTCTTAGAGGAAAAAAATATGTGATTAATTATTTGATGGTTATATTAGATGGGAAAATTACTGTAAGAATGAATTTTTCTTTGAAGCTCTTGTTGACTTTATTTATTTATTTCATTTTTAATTCTTCTTTTAAATATAACTGATCTCTTAACTGGTCATCAATTCAAACTGATTCTTTGCCAGCTCGATCAATAAAATAAAAAGACAATTATTATTACTTAAAACTTGAAGTCATATCTTCTTAGTTCTTCAGTTCTTCTATTCAATCATACTCTCTGCAGAGACCATTGTTTACTGGAAAAACTCTTGTACCCACACTCCACATCAATGCCAGGTAAAGCTTAAGTTCAGCTGCTTACATCAACTTCATTTTGTTAATTCTGAGTGTTAATTAAGTAAGCTGTTGCCGTCTCATCTCTCTTAGATCTTTATCTCTTTGTACTGATAACTCGTTTTTTATAATTTCTTTTGACTCCGGCCAATTCTTTCGACTTTCAACACAAACTTATAGCATATCCAATTTTGCATTACCATTTCAGGAATTAATATAAAATATAGATGAGCACGGTCAGATATAAAAAAATTTAATGCAAAAAATGCACAAAATAAATTAAAAAGCATGCATAACCCTTATAATTTGGCCTTCTTTGAATAACCCTCCTGAAATTTATAAGTGTCATTTTAAATACCGGCAGGCAATGTCCCAAAACCCCCAACACTTTGCAAAATCTTTCCAAACGTACCCCGTTAATGGTATCAGACGATTTTCTGAAAATAATCGTTAAACTATGTTGAGCTAGGGTTGTAAGGTAGAGAGTTTGCGGGAGCTTGAAAAATCCGGGGTCAACGTCCGTATATGTTGACATAGCAAACTTTCGGGTTTTTTTTTCGAGGCCAAGCTCAAAAGCTGTGGGGTTAATGACTTTTTTATTAAAAGTTAATAGGTCATCTCAAATGGGGCTAAAAAGATAACCAGTTTATAAGAATTCTCCCTTGAAAGATTACAATTGCAGAATGGTTGTGCGCCCTATCGAAAACACACACATATATAGTATTAGGAGGGTTTTTTCTGAAAAGTTCCATGTCATAATAATTAAAGTACTTGGGGTTTCAACGCTCGATTCCCTCTTTAAATTTCAGGAAGAACGCACAGGAGGGAAAGAAAGAACAAGGCAACAGTAAACGATACCACGTTCAAAAAATCAATTCCCATTTGAGAGATGGATCCAAGCTCGGCCTCAGGCTCATCCTCATCTCGTGGGCCTGCAAGCTTCTCAACTCAGGCCGACGCTCTCCTCAGAAAGAATCTCATCTTTCAGGTTACCTTCAATACTTTTGCTCCCTTTTATTTACAATTTCATTAATGTTGTCTTAACATTTAATTCCTCTTATAACAACAGAAACGCAATACGAAGACCAATGCCTGCATAATCTCATACCCATTAGTGCTCTGCATCATTATTGTCATCATTCAAGTCATCGTTAATAAAGAACTCGATAAGCCCAAGAATCGTTGCGGCTGCAAATGCATTCCCACTAACAGCAGTGGCCGATGTGAGGAGGTTTGTGGGATTCAATACTCGGATGCGATTCAAGCAGAGACATGTGCGGTTCCGAGCCCACCAAGATGGCCGGCCCTGATGCAGGTTCCTCGGCCTGAATATCGGGCTGTGAGGTCAGGCTCAGTTTGGGCCCAGGACTTTCCAGATAGGTCCTGTAGGATGACGGGATCATGCCCGGCGACTTTGCTATATACCGGCAAGAACAAATCTCTTGCAGAAAGTAAGTTACTCTCTAGTTATTGAACAGGGGCATGGGGTTTTAGTAACATGAACTTTCAAGAAAAAGTCATATGGAAGGGCTCTATAGAAAATCATGCTGGGAGAAAGCAGGATGCATGTCGCGCTATCATTTGGATTTGATGATTTACTGATTTATATACTTCCTTCCTTCAATAGAGGGTCGTATATATGATTTTTTTTTGGTCCTATAACTTTTGGTTATAGTAACGAGCTGTTAGATGATGGTTGGGGATTTATTCTTACCTGCAATCAATTCAAGCCTTTATCCATGAAAATGGGATTAGCTGTGGAGCATGAGGCTCCATTGACAGATTGATAAAAACATATAACTCGGAGTTATCTCCTGTTGTTAATTAGTTTTTACTTTCAGTACTGATTTAAGAAATAATTATTTTGGTACGCTTTTGTTTCCATTCAGACACAGTCTAATGATGCTACTCTTATATTGCTTTCTGTTATATGATTTTCTGGACAGGTTTGGCTGGGAACTTTCTTCCGGAGATCTCCTCATTGAATTTCTCTGACTATCTTAATGCTCTTTCGAACATCATTCCAGTGAGTTTCCCTAGATTTAGTTTCTGCTATTGCTTACATGTGTGGAGATGTTTCAACATTATCTTTATTCTTTTCTTTACATGAGTATTTTGCAAATGTTTCAGGGAACAGATGCACCAACAAGTCTAACAGAATTTATTGAGAATGCCTTTGTCTCAGATAGACCTCTATATGTGCTTCAGCCCAGGTGTAGTGGGGATTCTGTTGTTTCTCTTGATATTGAAGTTTCTGGTATTGACCTTCAGCAAGGTATGGAACCATTCAATTTATTTTAAAAATTCAGCTCTTTTAACGAAAATCAGTATTCAACATGTCTGTTCTCTGATGGAAATTCAATTATGGTGATTTTAGTTTTAATGTCTTTTATAAACTTTACATGATTATGCAAGTCTAACTTGTGATACGAGTTCACATGAACCATGCTTCCTCACTTCACTTGCAGTTTTACTCTACTGGGTGTAGTTGTCAATACCTTATGATATGCGGAATGTTTCAATATAATATGCAAGTAATTTGATATATATCTTATGCAAGTATTGTTTGTGACAATGTATGATATGATAAATATAGCACAGCTGTCTACATGAACCATGCCTTGCCATATACAATATGTGATGTACATGATAAATTGACTTATAAATCGATTTCAAACTCACTTAAAAATCCCTTCAGGTTTAACTACAGCTTACAAGTTCAGGTGGGCTTAGTTTTTTTAATAGAAGTGTACATCCAAGCCCAAATCACCTGTTTAGTTGATAAAAATGTATAAACCTATTGTCCTGTCCAAATTTCTTTCTCCACTTGCCAATAAAAAACATAGTCACTTCTTTTACTCCTGTTTCAAGTACTCAATCTGGATGTTGAGCCATCGAATGCCACCAGGATAGGGGAAAACTTTGGAACAACTAAAACTTGTTTCCGTGTTTTCAATTAATTATAGCCCACAATAGGAAATGAGGCAAGGAATACAGGAAGAAACCACACAGACATATCTCCAATTTGCCTGTTGCATATGGAACTATGATGCGTAGAGTCGTAGACTGGAGAGTTTGGATGTTGCCTACCAGATGATAACTCTTGGTTAGATATACATCAGTGCTTTGAACTTGAAAGAGGGCTACGTACTGCAACCATCAAATAAAACTAAGAAAAGAGGCCCATATATTAACTTAGAGTAAACATCAGCTTCTACTTTTCAATTGTCTAAAATTTTCACGCTTTCAATTATTGGTAAGATCCTGAAAATTGAATGTGATTGACTGTCAGGAATGAAGAGAAAGAAGGTAGACAAGAGTGAGTTTTTGGAGAGTGAAAAAAGATGAAAATGTCATTCTTAACAATGTAGATTCGGATGGATATTTTGGGGATGATCTATTGATGCTAAATTGGGTAGTTCTGGTAGCGCTAATGAACTTGTTTTAGGACATCATCATTTAAAATATTAATTGGGCTTATTTTATGGTTAAATTATGTGGTGCAGTTTTGATTAATGATTTCATTTATAGTCATTAAAATTAGAGTTGTATTATTCCACTAATGGACTTTGAACATTTGTCCATGATTATCTATAATTCTATGTTTTAAATTTGTATATATTCTTGTAATATATAGGGTTGTAAGTATAGTTACTAAACTATGATACCTGGATTACTTTATTTACATTAGTAGATATGATATATGATATGGTGTACATGGTATACCTGGAAAATGATGTGCAACACATCCCAATTGGCAACTTCGAAACTGAGTTTTTGGTTTATCTTTCTCATGTTGGCCTGTCTGAATTTTGACCAAACTTTAATATATTTGTTGGGCGTGGTTTCTCGAGTCTCCATCGGCTCTCTGAATATTAATGTACACGTGATATCAATCCCAGTGATATATTTTTATTTCTATTTTGCTTTTTTAAAACATGCAAATGCAATACTCTAACGCACCTGCATTTGAAACCATTATTCTCTGCAATGGGAACAGAAGTGAGATGTGTCCAAGGCCTACCTTTATGGCGTGATAATACGTCAGTGATAAATGATGAGCTTTTTAAGGGTTATTGGAAAGCAAATACGGTGGAGAACACAAATGAATTTCTTGCAGGTAACTAAACTTTGCTATTATTTGTCTGTCATCTTCATTTTTGAATTCAGGCCTAAGCTCACTTGTTTTGCAGCTTATGACTTCTTAGAATCTAACGAGAATAGATTCAGTGTCGACGTCTGGTACAACTCAACTTACAAAAATTATACTAATGATTTTACCCCTCCTGCATTGTTGCGTGTTCCCCGCTCATTGAATTTGGTAATGCGCATTTATCTTATTCAAAATTTTAATATGAAGTACAACTATTTCTCTTTTTTCAAGCTTTTGCCTTGACAAAAAGGTGGCCTACTTAAGTACTATGAGAATCCACTTTTAAAAATGTAATGAAAACTGCTGCAAATTTAGGATTGCAAGTTTTGATGTTATAAAGTAAAGGATTCGATTGCTGTAATTTTATACAGGCATCCAATGCGTTCCTCAAGTTCGTGAGAGGTACCGGAATGATGATGCAGCTTGAATATGTAAAAGAAATGCCCCAACCAGCTAAAAAAATTAGGCTGGACTTTTCCTCTCTTCTTGGTCCTTTATTTTTTACATGGGTCATTCAGTTGCTCTTTCCGGTGAGTATATTGCTCTACACTTAGAAATTATCTTGTGATTTAGTTCCAGCGCGTTGCATTCTTGCTTCTTTTAATGGATGTAACTATTAGGAAACTTTTGCTTCTAATGCAGGTTATATTGACGTACATAGTTTACGACAAACAACACAAATTGAAAATTATGATGAAAATGCATGGGCTTAAAGATAGTCCTTACTGGATAATATCGCATGCTTATTTCTTTGCCATGTCGTTATTTTACATGCTGTGCTTCGTGATGTTTGGTACTGTCATAGGTGAGAGTATGTGAAAATGTTATCAGTTCATAATGATCTTGCCTCAAGCTTTATCTTATCTTTGATTTCGTCTCTCTTCAGGCTTAAAGTTCTTCACATTGAATGACTACAGCATACAGTTTGTGTTCTATGTCATTTACATAAACTTGCAGATTGCATTCGCCTTTCTTGTTTCAGTCTCTTTCTCTGATACAAAGACTGCTACAGGTATGATTCTACTGAATGGTTTAAATTTCCTGAAGTAGAGATCTTACCCAATACTCAATATTGAACTAACGTCTTTTGATGAGTAATCTGAAATCTGATACTGCAGTAAGTGCATACATATATGTATTCGGATCGGGCTTACTAGGACGATTTCTCTTGCAGAATTTTGTTGAAGATACTTCCTTCCCAAGTAAGTAAAAAAGTTTACTTAATTTTGACCTTTCCTAATTTAGGTAATTGTATCATTATGTATTGTTTACATATGAGCCTTCAAGAAAATATCTAATAGAGGTTCTGTTGTCATTTTAGAAGCTTGGATTGTAGTCTTGGAGTTTGTCCCGGCTTTTTCCTTGTACCGTGGGCTATATGAATTTGGAGAGTATGCGTTCACGGGAAATCTTATGGGAACTAATGGTATGCGGTGGAGAAATATAAATGACAGTCAGAATGGAATGAAAGGTGTTCTTATTGTCATGACTGCTGAATGCATAGTATTGCTTCCATTTGCATATTATCTGCATCAGATGTCATCGCCTGCTGGAGGAATTAAAAGTCCTCTGTTTTTTCTGCAATGTTTGCGAAAGAGACGATCACCGTCTTTCCGTAAACCTAGTTTGCAGCGAGACACGTCCAAGGTTTTTGTCGATATGGAGAGGCCTGATGTTGCTCAAGAAGTAAGATCCTTTGTTCTCAGTTTTATCTGTTTTAATTTCATTGCATTTAGATGGTAGAGTTTCCAACTCTCCCTTTTCTGTTTCATGCAGAGAGAAGTGGTTGAGAAATTGATGATGGAACCTAGCAATACTCACACCATTGTCTGTGATAATCTCAATAAAGTGTATCCAGGAAAAGACGGAAATCCTCCCAAGTTTGCAGTTAAAGGATTATCTCTTGCTATTTCTCGGGGTGAATGTTTCGGGATGCTAGGCCCGAATGGTGCTGGAAAGACTTCATTCATCAACATGGTCAGTGGCGATGCCTTTCAAAAATGGGCTCATTGTGAATAGACCCTTTCTAGTATCATTGTTTTGAACCTACCACCCGTCTAATTTGTTGGGGAAAACAACAACAAAAATTAGAATTGATGCCTATTTATAAAAACCCTCTTACTGAAATTCTGTGTGTTTACTTGCATAGATGATTGGGCTCATATCCCCAAGCTCTGGCACTGCACTAGTTCAGGGGCTAGACATCCAGTCCAACATGGTTGAAATATACTCAAACATGGGCGTATGCCCACAACATGAGTAAGACCTCTTAAACTTATGTACTAAATTTTCGGTGAGCGATAATAAAAGAATACTTGAAGCAGTTAACTTAATACCAAACAATGTAGCTTCCAGTTACTGTCTTTTACTGGCCATTACTTTTACTCCCTTCAATCGTTGGTGTATCCTCAACAGTTTGCTGTGGGAAAGATTAACAGGCAGAGAGCATCTAATGTTTTATGGTCGGTTGAAGAATCTGAAAGGTGTTGCATTGATGCAGGTAATGCATATCTACTACAAACTTTTTCTGTTTAATCTAAACTAATATAATATGAAGGAAAGTTTTATTCTTATCCATACTAACACACTTGTGCATCTTTCTTGTAGAAGCACAAACATGAAATTTTCTTGATGACAATGCTAGTGTTTACTGCAAGTAAAATATCAATCAAACTAGAACCATTAGTTAAATATACCCTTTAGACAGCAGTACATTTCATTCTCTAAATTGTCGATGAGCAGATTGCACTTTACGAATGAACTGCATTATTTTTTATTGTTGCAGCTCATGCATAGCTCAAAGGCTCAGATTATATTATTGAGTAAATATCTACTAATAGTGTTTCTTGGTGATAGTAACTGAGGAAATGACTTCCCCGGATAGTTTATCATTATGACAAAATCTCGCGTTGTTATTTCCAGGCAGTTGATGAATCTTTGAAGAACGTAAATCTATATTATGGTGGGGTTGGTGACAAACAAGCTGGTCAATACAGTGGTGGCATGAAGAGGAGGCTCAGTGTTGCCATCTCACTTATCGGTGATCCTAAAGTATTTATATTCTCTTATAAATTATTGAAATTTGCTTTTAGATATGCTTTTCAATGAAAGGTATTCTAAATTCATGATAATGGAGCTATTTGTCAGGTCGTATACATGGACGAACCAAGTACTGGATTAGACCCAGCATCAAGAAAAAACTTATGGGACGTTGTGAAGAAAGCAAAAACTGACCGCGCAATAATCCTAACTAGTATGATCTACTCTCATTTTATGCTTGTTTTACCTAATAGATGAAACATAGAGAAAATATTATTAGTAGATGTGGGTGCTATTAGTCCAAATCTAAAATCAAACTTCAAAATTGAAGATTTGCATCATTTGACTTGATCTAATACCCAAAAACAACCTAGAAACAGAAAAATATCAAGTGATTTCAAGGTGTTTACTCTGTGCATGACGTGGCATTATTAGGTTTTTCCTAGCGCCTTTCTTTCCTAGCATTGTTCTTTTGTTCTTTGAAGACTTATCATATTATTTTTCTTATGTGTATTCTTTCAGCACATTCAATGGAAGAGGCAGAAGTTCTATGTGACCGTTTGGGCATCCTTGTTGGTGGAAATGTTCAGTGTATAGGAAATCCAAAAGAGGTAAACCCAAATTTTGAATTTCGAGAACCAAATTCTTAGCATACTGTAATTTGAATCTGCAACAAAATTTTATCATGAAACTTATCATCATCAGATAAAACATAGCTAAAAAGACATTAAATATTGACACTTGTTTCATTTAGCCTTATAACTGGTGCATGATGACAGCTGAAGGCCAGGTATGGAGGAAGCTACATATTCACAATGACAACATCCTCAAATGAAGAGGAAGAGGTAGAAATCTTAGCTAGAGGACTCTCTCCGAATGCAAAAAAGATATATCACATGTCAGGAACTCAGAAGTTCGAACTGCCAAAGCAAGAGGTTAGAATTGCCGATGTTTTTAGAGCAGTGGAGAGAGCAAAGAGCAAGTTCAACATACAAGCCTGGGGTCTGGCTGATACAACATTGGAGGATGTCTTCATTAAGGTTGCCATAGGAGAGCAGCCTTGTGATGAGCTCTCATGATTTTGATGTCTCAAATAGTTTGTGTACATATATATGTTTTAGTAATTTTTATACTTACAGTTTTAAACTTACAACTCTCGGTTATAGATAAATGAATTACATGCATATCATATTATATTATTTCATTTATCTTATTTTTCTGTATTTTGTCAATGGACTGAAAGTTGTATTAATTTTCATGCAAATGGCAATGTATTTTCGCAAAAAGAAAGTCTTTCCACGAAAGGGAATTTGAGGCAGTGCATTGCCTCTGCTTGATTTGGCTTTAACATGATCAAATGAGAATAATGTTTACTGCTGCTTATAACAAGTATTTTCACTGCTTTTACCAATTTAAGGTTTATTTCCTCAAAAAGGGGAAAAAATATCCCCCCCTGCTCTTAAAAAAGATAAGGGGAAAAAAAGTGTTCTTTAGAATGTTTTTGATGATGACAACAAACTCCAGAAAATCTCTCTTTAAAAGAAGGGTAAATTTCGTTAAACTCCCCAAATATGTTTGGGCCTTTGACAATTAACCCCGCCCGAAAAATTTGAAACTCTCACTAAACCCCGAAAGAAAAAGCTGATAGCTTTTATAATTAAAAGCTGCAATATTGTAGTAATATTGTTGGGAATACGTCATGAAGTTCTGCTGAGGCTGAACATACGGAAGTTCCTGATAAACTTATTCCGGTCGATTGTGTTACTTTTGGACTCTTCAGCCGTTTCTGTTCGATAATGTAGTTCTCGAGAAGTGAGCATGTTTAGTAACTGACAATAGTTAAGAGCTCGACAAATAATAGCAACGCAACATGAAGATAGTTTTTAGTACTACAGTTGTTATACCACAACAATATTTATAAGAAGAAATTTACAAAATAGACCTATGTGCAGATTATGAAGAAATTGGAGTTAACTCCGACCATCAGTGGATTCATTGGAGGCCTACTTTCTTTCATTCATTCCCCTTAGTTGAAGGGGCAATCTAAAGAGAAATTTGTTGTGTTACAACATTAGTAAAAAAGCTTTTTTTTTAACAATATTTATGATGAAAAATCACAATGTTCAGCTGTACTGCAAATAAAAAGCATGAATATTCTGGTACCATCGAAGTGCGTATACATTTACGAGAGAAATTGGAAAAGAGATCTTATAACCGAAACTAATCACAATTAAGTTGATGGACAAATTCAATGTGCTATTTCAAACTTTTACAACAATAAAACAGTTAGATCGAGAGTACAACAAACTGTTGGACTCGAAAATTAGCATACATATTTATGAAAAATGAACAAAGATAATATCTTTTTTGAATAAAACGAAAAAACACTGCCTTTTTTCTCCTCATCTTTCATCCACTACTTCTCCTCCTCACCATTTACCTCTCTTCCTTCGTCCTCTCCTCACGTCTCTTAACAGTTTTATGAATAAATATTATTAAAAATAACAACTTTCTTCTTTCTGCTTAACTACTTATTTGCCGTAGATCACACACATTAAATATTTTTTATTTTTATTTTTTTCTTTTTAACAAAGTCAAGGCTAAAGTATTAATATTAGTATTACTAATCCATGAAATAAAAAATAGTAAAGAAAAGATTGAAGGAGTAAAGACAGCAAAGAGAAAAGAGGGACCAAAGAAGAATAGAAAGGGGTGGGCAAGGGGAGGAAAGGTCGAGGCAAAGGGTGACAAAGAATGGAGAAGAAGAAAGATGTGTGGGAGGAAGAGGGGCAAAGGAGGAGAAGCGATGATATTGAGAGAGGTAACGATGAAGGTAAAGACAGCTATGAATGAGGATGATGAGAGATTATAAAAATATTTTTAGAATTCTAAAAATCTTTTTAGAATATTCGTTGTTAAGGATAATGGTTGTGTTGGTTGTTTTGTTGGCCCAATAAGTTGGCCCATTCCACTAAATGCCCATCTCCCCCACTTGTGCCCTAGCCCCTCTATTTTCCCTCACCTACCCGATGGTTCTCACCTCCTCCTAAGTCTTCGCGATCTCTGGAAGTCTTCGCAATCTCTGGATTTGATGGCCGCCGCTGTGATTTCATCCCTAGGTCGGCTGCCCCCATCCCTATATATGGGTAATGGGTTGGTAGTAGCTTGGGAGAGGGATGAAGAGGAAGTAGAGGCAGTAAGGTGAAGATCTGAGCTTGAGCTTCCCTCTGCTGTGTGCGATCTCCCCCTTTCTGCGAGTTTGTGCTCCTGTGAGCTTTGTGCTTCTACCCGCTGTGCTTCTACCCACTGTGCGATCCTCTCCCCTACCTGAGCTCTGTGCTCCTTCAAAGCTCTGTGCTTTTACCTCTTTGTGAGATCTGGAGAGAGACTGTGTAATAGTTGCTTTTCTCCCTCCCTTTGTGTTCTTGGTGGTGCACTGGAGAAGAAGATCGGACTGATTGAGCAGGCTTCTGAGCCAAACAGCGACAAGATAACTCAACAGTGGTATCAGAGAGAGGTTAGTGTCGCTGTGCTTCAAAAGAAGGAATTTGAGTACAAGTAGATTAGCCTAGTTCATATCCATTTATGTGACTCGGCAACCCAACAACTTCTATCAGACCATCATATGTGTGCCAGTATTTAGATTGATGTAGTTTCCTCTTCTGTCGAGGTCACTTGACTAACAAGCGTTTGGTCTCCATTAACTTTAGGCACAAAGAGTTTATGTGCTTGCACATGGATTTTTATTATTGGAGAGAGGAGTATCATATTGTTATATTCAATTCAAATCATTCTTTCATATATAATTTCATAACTTTGATGTTTGCTAAAACTCTTTGGGATAAACTTGAAGAACTCTATACTGAAACCTCTTTGCCCAGTAAAATGTTTTTGCTTGAAAATTTTTTCAAATTTAGATTGGATATGTCTAAGGACATTGAGGAGAACCTAGATGTTTTCACAAAACTTATTTCAGATATTAAGTTAACTGGTGATAAACATATAGATGATTATACTCCTATTGCCCTTCTAAATGCTATTCCTGACTCATATAGTGATGTGAAATCTGCTATTAAATATGGTAGAGATGAGGTTACCCTTGATGTTGTGGTCAATGGTCTTAAGAGTAAGGAATTAGATTTAAAACATTCTGGGGGAAATAAAAATTCTGGTGAGGTTATGCATGTGAGGGGTAGGCCTCAGAATAGGTCTAATTACCAAAAGAATGCTAGTAATGGGGAATCAAGTAAGAAAAAATTTGAAAATGGAAGGGGTAGATCTAAGTCCAGGTTTAAAGCTAAAAAATGCTATAATTGTCATGAAACTGGTCACTTTATTAAAGATTGTCCTAAGCCTAAGAAAAATCAGCAAAATGAACATGCTAATATGGCTGTCTGTGAGGGCAAAATGGGTGAGATCTTCATGATTAATAATCTGTGTGATTATGCATATTTGAACTCTGTGTTATCTGATCCTTTGGGTAAATCAGATTGGTTGGTAGACTCTGGTTGTACTTTTCATATGACTCCTTTTAAAACCTTGTTTTCAAACTACAAGAAAATAGAGAATGGCTTTGTGTCAATGGCAAATGAAAAGAAATGCAATGTTTTAGGAACTGGTGATGTATGCCTTAGGTTTTCCTCTGGTTCTGTGTTTACTTTGAAGGATGTTAGGCATGTTCCTGATTTACGTTATAACTTGATTTCTTGTGCATCTCTAGAAAATGATGGTTTGGAGGGAAAATGGGGTAAAGGGGTTATGAAAATTCTAAAAGGGTCTCTTGTTGTTTTTACTGCTGAAAAACAAAATAATTTGTATATTTGTCATGCTGAACCTGTGCTTGATTCTGTTAACTCTGTGATAGGTGATAAATCTGTTTTATGGCATAATAGATTAGGTCACATGAGTAATAAAGGATTAGAAATTTTGCATAAAGGAGGTCACTTTGGTAGTGATAAAATATCCCCCATCCCTTTCTGTGAATCTTGTGTGCTAGGAAAACAACATAGGGTTACTTTTCCTACTTCTTCTTTTCCTAATCCAAACAGCTACAAGATAACTCAACAGGTTGGTTGTGAATGTTATACATTGGTTGTGAAGGTTATGAGTTGGTTGTTAAGGTTAAGGGTTTGTTATTAAAGATAAACGTTGGTTGTGAAGGTTACGCTTTGATTGTGAAGTTAACCTACACAACCAACCCGTAACATTAACAACCAATGCATAACCTTCACAACCAAACCGACCCTACCATTCTTAATTATCAAGTCCTTCGCCGCCACCGCGTTAAACAGATTCACGTTGGGCCGCATCAGCAGTTTGCTCATGATGGTGGAGGTGAAGAGGGCGGCGTGCTTTATGACGATGTAATCCTCCTGCTCGTTGTAGGGGACCTCGAGCTCGTCGAGGAAGATGTGGGCGGACTAGCGGACGACCATGACGGAGAAGAGCTGGCCGCCGAGCTAGGCATCGTCACCGGGGGAGACGGAGTGCTCGATAATGGCGACTTTGATGTCAGGGTTCTTGGAGAGCTCATAGGTGCAGGAGAGGCCGGCGGATCCGACGCCACCGACGACGATGATGTCGGTGTAGGCGTAGGTGATCATGTCGGACATGTAGCAGTGGGTCATCTCGCGGGAGATGGATTCTTTGATGGGACGGAAGTGGAGGGAGGAGAGGTCGTAGGAGGAGGAGATTTGGGGGGCGGAGGATGACGATGATGGGGAGGAGAAAGATTGGGTTTTGAAGGCGGAGGAGAGCTTGAGGCCATGTGAGGAGGAGGAGAAGAGGAGGTTGTGGTCGTTGGGTCTGGAGAGGAAGGAGGAGGTGGCCATGGAGGGAATTACGAGTTAGTGACGTCGGTGACGGGGCTTGGAGGGAACTAGAAAATTTTCTCTCCAAAACCCAGTTGAAATAATCACACTAACATCATGATAAAGAGAGAGAGGTTGCGGTCGTTGGGTTTGGAGAGGAAGGAGGAGGTGGCTGTTGACATATGAGTAATATGTAGGGACTTATTTGTAAGTTGTATTTTGTAGGGGCCTATATAAGCCCAAGAGATTTTATAATAAGGATTAGGGTTTTCTCATATTAGGTATCAGAGCCTCCACCAAAAACCTAGCCGCCGCCCCCCTCCCACCCGGCTTTCCCTCCTCCGGCCACCACCCACCAGAGCACCAACCCCCCTTCTACGACAGCCCCTCCCCCCCATCGGCAGCCTCCCCCCCACGGCAACCCCCCCATCACAGCCGCCCCCA